AGAGAGAGAGAGAGAGAGAGAGAGAGAGAGAGAGAGAGAGAGAGAGTATATGTAGTAGTGGTTAGTGTAATGGATGCATTAGTATCCCACTATGTCCAAATATTACAAATTTGGTCTACCAAATCAACCAAGCAAACAAGTGTCCAGGACTAGCCAGGAGCAAAGTCAACAAACAAAACAGAAAGATTTAATTTGATGACAAACACACACACACACACGCTATACAAACATGTATATGTATAATACAACTGTCACATATCACACTTTCACTGTCACATCAAACATATCCATTAAAACAAGACTTCTACAAATAAAGTTCACACCGTAACGCTAAGCCTTTTAAAAAATCCCACCCGCCAAAAACTGTAGATGATCAAAGCATCAAAATGTCTGCCCATGAATACCCACACATACATGAACTTATCAACACTACAAGTTAATTATAATGTACCTGAAAATATGGATGATCAAAAGCATGTTTGGGCTTTGGATTATATCCATGGGATCTCAGTTTGTCGGCCCACCTGAGGAAAGAGTGTTAGAGGTAGGGGGAGGATCAGAAGGGACTTACTTTGCGGCTAGAGTATTTATTGTACCTGTACCGACCATAAGGGCGGCAATGGCTATGTGGAACGCAGCCATTCCAGGGTTGCTAATCTTAAACAGAGGCATTTTGAGAAGCTAATCTTCACACTAAAAATAAAGAAACTAAACTAAACTAAAGGGCGTACTAAACAGCTCAACAAAGTTGGGAGACACACCACACGTTGTGTCCCCTTTGTCCAGTCATGTGATAGATTTTATTTTTAATATTTAAAAACTCTAGCCACACCCATAAAAGGTGTGGCTACTTGTTTGCATATTTAATCATAGATAATAGAGTAAATATTTTATTACTGAAAAAAAATCATTCATTGACATTAGTTTGATAATTTTATTCACACAGTCAACTGCCTGTGCTTTATAAAAAAAATTATTTAAAAAAAGTACAAAAGAACACAAAAATTAATTATAAAGAAAAGTTCTCTTTGTAGCGATTGTAGCCTTTATTAATGAGCTTACAAGCATCCTAAAAATTAACAGTACATACATACATCACAAAAATAATTACATTATGTTGTACTTGCAGCTGTCATAGGAACACCATTTGTGGCTACTTTGAATCTTGTTGCCAAGAATAGATTCTTGGCAACAAGATGGTCAAAGTGAACCACAAGTATTCTACAGAAAGATGATGGCTAATAGTACCATCATACCACATTCTATAGTACAACCCCATTACTGGAAAAGTGTATATTGATTTTTCCATGCAAAATGTGACTGTGCATGATAAAATTATACAGTGTGCATGATAAAATTATACAGTGTGCATGCTGTCTTTCAGTAGCAGCAATAGAGCTAGAGATGTAGTAGGCTATACAGCTGCACATGAACTCACTTGGGCCGCCTTTTCTGAAGAAAGAGATAACTGAGACTCTTTAGCATACTAAAAAAAGAGTTAAAAAGAGAGAGAAGGGGTTAGATTTTTTGGAATTTAAGCATGATGTGACATTTTCATTACTTTTTGATCTTTGGGTTTAATGTACACAATGCTGTGAGTTGCTAAAGCTTGCTCCAGAAAATGTTTAAATTTCAATTTCTGGATGGCCTTCCATCCTTCAAGCAAAGGCCTCTGGGTAATAAGCATATATCGACTAAAAGAAAGTTAGTTTTTAGTTTGTATTCAAAATTAATTTTCTTATACCGATCTGTGACAATTAGAAACCTAGGTGGCTTCACTGAAATTTCAATATGGCCGACGTAATATTCGTCATCAGTGTAATGACCTTCATCTGTACCCTAGACAAAATATACAAGAGATTACTATAGTATGCAAAAGATTACAGAGATGTACAAGAAATTATCATAGTATATAAAAACATGAATTAGTGTACAAAGGATTACTGGGATGTACATGAGATTACTAGTTCTTACCACAATTAGTGCATTTCCAACAGCATCTTCAGGAGAATATGGACGAATAATTCCGTCACGTCCAATAAACCGAGGCGGTCTCACCTGTACAATATCAATATTACCAACACGGGTTTTTCTAAAAAAAACAAATAAAAAATAATAATTAATAATAATATTATTATTAATACCTTGTAACAAATTCAAGAGTACCACTCGTCAAATCAATCAACCCACCAGCTGGTCTAACTAAAAACCCAACCAGACCACGCCCAGTTCCTTTAAAGAAACCTACAGCTCCTTCTTCCTTTACGCCTACACACATAACAATATATAATACTCTAATTAAAGAGCACTCACCTTTAATGGGTTGGGCAACAACACCAGTTACTCCTTCGGCAACATTCTGTCATAAAATTAATAACTATTAATGAGGAGAAGCTATATCCATATCTCACCTTGAAAAACCCGCCAACTTTAGAGCTCAGTTTGGACGATTTCACTTTCTGTTGTTGCCGTTGATCAATGAAATCATCGTCAAAACTTAACTTTGCGAAAATGTCACCAAATGCACCAGTGATCCTAGCACCAGCTCCAGTGAGTCCACCTAAGGAGAAGGAGAAAAAGACATTAAAAGAGAAAAAAATACATGTACATGTAGACTATAATTCAAGTACAAAAAGTTAATCACCACCAGCCTTCTTTTCTCCCTCCCTCCCTCCCTCCCTCCCTCCATCCCTCCCTCCCTCTCTCTCTCCTCCCTTCCTCTCTTTAAGTTACCAACTGTTCCACCAAAGAAGCTCTTTAGTCCAATGCCTAAACCAGAAGCAAATTCCTCAGGCCCAAGGACACTTCCCTTTAATCAACAAGAGATTAAAGAAACATGATATACATGTACTTATAATAAAGAATAATAATGTAATTGGATACTTGATAGTGGGATTAGCTCTCACAATCCTCAAATTTCAGTAAAAATTAAATAATAATATAATACCTTGATAGGCTCATAAAATAAGTCAAATGTTCCTTCAACAACTCCTCTCACTATCTTTACTGGATTACCCAAGACATCCAGTCCTAATATCAACCTGTGGATTTGAACTAGTCCCTTAAAAGAGAAGGCAACAAGGAAAAGAAGAGAGAGAGAGGAAGCATTGTATATTTGCTTTTTCTGGATATTTTCTTACTTGTGTAACATAGTGTTTCACAAAATCATTTTTCAAATTACTGAACTTGACAACGACATACTCCAAATGAAACAGACTAAAGCTATAAAAAGTATAAAAAACCCTCATTTAAAAATAAAAAAGCCATGCACATATATACATGTACATTCTAGAATGTCTGATCTTTTTCTCACTTCATTTGTGCCTCTTGAACTGAGGTAAGTATGACTCCCAATGAGTGAAGGAACAGCTGCAACAACCTGTCACTGACCGTTTGAACAGTTTTGTTTCGACTGACACTCCGGACATTAAAACTAAGTGTTATCTACACATACACAATAAGTCTCAATAAAAAATACGATATTAATGGCCAGTACTTTAATCGGAGAGATGTGTAACACATCAATAAAATTCCTTTTGACGGCTTCATCAGAAACCTAGAGATTCAAGAGGTAGAGAGAGAGAGAGGTGGGTAAAATAAAAAATAATTAACTGACTGTTGGTAGAACAATGTCTTGAAGTGACTTTTTAGTAAACTCTACATCCTCTTCAACATATTCAGGCTAAAAGGGAAAGATGAGTATTACAAATAAGAATAATAATAATAAATTTATTATTGCCTCTAGTATCATTCCAATGTCACTGAGAGAGAAGAAATCAACAAGTGATAGAATGAATCCAAGATCAACGTTTAGCACCATCCTTTGAACTAAGACATGAACATACCTACATGCACATAAAGAGTGAGAGAGAGAGAGGGAGAGGGGGGAGAGAGAGGGAGAAAAGAGAGAGAGAGAGAGAGAGAGAGAGAGGGAGAAAAGAGAGAGAGAGAGAGAGAGAGAGAGAGAGAGAGAGAGAGAGAGGGAGGGAGAGAGAGAGAAAGTGCAAGGAAATTCAGGAAGGAGAGAAAGTGACAAGTTAAATATACAGTGATTATACTCACTTAAAATGATTGATGTTACTCTGCTCCGTCTTACGCAGTATGATACTAGCCTCAATAAACGGCTTAGGCTCTACAAAGAAACATGTACATGTCACATGACGTGAAGGTCACATGACAATACCCTTACCAAGAGTAGAGGCAACAGTGGGGGGAGGAGGAAGAGGATAAAGGAGCTGAGGGTAGACTGAAAACGGGAGCTGATTATCGATCTAAAAAAACATTAAATCACCATGATAACGAAATCGTCATAGCAACAAACTGCACCCACCTGAACAAATCCGATCTTTGCATGCAGTGAGTAGTCCCTGTCCGATATACCAACTCGAAGAGTAACTCCATCGTAATTGGTGCGTCTGAGGGCACCGCGGAGTGGCGTAAACATTTCCATCTTTTCAAAGTTTACGACCAAGTTTTTGTGACGCAAATCGATGGAGTTTGACTGGTAAGCTTCCTCAAGGAGAGCTATGACTGTATTGTTTAATGTCTTCCAGTGACCCTTCTTCCTAGCAACCTGCCATATAACACCAGATCTGAAGGGGAGAGAAAGAGAGAGGATGTAGATAAGTAGTAGGCTAACTCCCTTACTGTGTAACTCCAATATAAGCTACTTCTCTTCTCTCCTTATTATCAACCAGCGATACTCCTATTGATTTCACTGATACTGAGATCTCAGCGTTATTCTGTGAGACATTATCAGCTGCCTTGATTCGATCAAGAGCCTCGGGCCGGTCAGTAAACAATACAGTACGCTGAAGTGAATCTATGAAGGATTTCCAATAGCCACGCCTACTTCCACCACGCCTCTTTGAGTCTGTAAAAATTAATTTTGATTAATTTGTCACGCAATTTTTTTCTCTCACCTTGTGTTTCCACGGAGATCAAGCTCTCAGTGAGTCTTTTAGTGTCGTCAACGGAGAGCCAAGTATCAGTTGAAGAAGAAGAGACGACAGTACTAAAACAAGAAAAACAGGTTTTAAAACGTGCACATGTACATGTAGACAATTACGATGCGCTAAGTGAGGGGAGGAGTGACTCGCTGAGGGCTTCTCGGGCAGAGCTGTCGTCAAGGTGATAGTTAAATGCTTCGTCGGCATCCTGCAGGATCACAAAATTGTTCATTATTATTATTATTATTATTATTATTGTTATTATTATTATTATCATTATCATTATCATTATTATTATTATTATTATTACATACTTTACTGATGTCAATGGTTCTAAGGTCCATCTTGGCATTCTTGATACTCCATTTAATGCTCCTCCTGTCAGTGGGGTCGTCCCACGTATAGTGCAAAGCCTCACCAGGTACAAGGGAATAGACACGAGGGGAAGAACTCCTAATGAATATTAAATAAGGACATGAAATATTCTTTCCGAAAATGTAATGGGAATTGGGGCCAATTTATGAAAATAACTATGCATGATAACCATGGGCTATAGCCTTGAGATTTTGGCTCATTTCTTAAAATGGCCGTAACTTAAAAAGTTGAAGTCGGAATCAGCTCAAACTTGCTACACAGCATAAGTACATCAATATGTATCAGAAAATGTAATAAAAATTGGGGGTGATTTCGGAGTCATTTTTTGGAAAAAACCATGGGCTATAGCCTTGGGTATTTTACAGATTTTGGCTCATTTTTTAAAATGGCCGTAACTTGAAAAGTTAAAGTCAGAATCACCTCAAATTTTCTACACAGCATAAGTACATCAATATGTATCAGAAAATGTAATAAAAATTTGGGGTGATTTGGAGCCATTTTTATCAGTAACATCAATATGTATCAGAAATGTGATAAGAGGGTGGAGCATTTACTTGATATCTTGTTTAAACACTACTGTTGCATCAGTCAGCAAGTTAATAAACTGAACTGGAGTACAAGTTTCATAATATGACGAAAAACTTATAATATTAGAACTCTCGGTTTCCTGAACGTCGACAATAAGAACAGTGGGCTAAAGAGGAAAAGAGAGCATAGTAAAAATAATGGTGAATAACCCACAAGTACATATGCAGCTGAAAATATTGGCAGGAAATTAATATTAGCAAATTGGTAGTTGCAGTAAGCACCAGCTGTCAATATAAAATATACTATTTTGTTTAAATCTACAAGCATGTCCAATATCACGTGGTCTAGTATATCATCAATATAAAATCCGAAATCCAATAATTGTATGTCCTTTTTAAAAATGAAACTCACACCAATATAACTCCAGCTGCACGATATAATATTACAATCCCTCCCTCCCTCCCTCTCTCACTTTATTTGTCAGTTTTAGTACAATTGAATCAGTTTTCTTGTAATTAAATAAAACGCTCCGACAATCCTTTCCGACCGTCACGTAAAGACGAGATGAATCCACCAGCGGCCAAAAGGGAACCACCTGTCCCTTCGGAACGAGAGTCCCTTCTCCGGAGCCTCTTTCTTCGTGAATAGTAACATCAGTCTACATAGAGAAGGTTGGACACGGTACATTTTATGCAATTTATTTTTTATTTATTTTTATTTTATTTTTAATTTATTTTTATGCAAAATCTTTTATGTGCTATATACCGTATGCAGTAAAAACTGGGCTTGAGGTAAAACAGTGCTACATGTACATGTGCGTCACATGCAGGTCACATGACTTACTTGGGTGTGGTTTGAGAGAAGGTAATAAGGCGTGACTATGACTAGTTTTGAGAGAGTAAATTTTGAGAGCTGAACAGCTACTCCAAACTAAAGACAAGAAATACAACATGACACAAACTTGTCAAAAAAAGCTGTTTTATTCTCTCCCTCCCTCCTTCCCTCTCCCTCCCTCCTTCCCTCTCCCTCTCCCCTCTCTCTCTTTCTCCCCCTCCCTCCTCTCTCTCTCCCCCTCCCTCCTCTCTCCCTCTCTCTCTTACATGATTGACAATGCTAGTATTAGGTAGTCTGGAGTGGTAGCGTCCGCTGGTTCCAACTGCTTGCAATGAAATGGAACTGGACCAGTCGGTTTTGCTGCCTCTGGTTGTATATGAGGAGAGATTGATCTAAAACAAACAGAAATAATGAATATGTAGAGTGTAGCCTCTATATAATGGACACTGTGGTACAAGAAAGTGTCTCTGTTATACAGGTGTCCTTTATGTGGAGGTTATTTTATACAGTAAGGAATGTAATTGGTACACTAGGTGCTGTCCGTTAAATGGAGGTGTATGCTATAGAGAGTGTCCATTAAAAGGGGCTATACTGTACATGTACATTTAGAATACAAGTATTTTATACCTTGCAGTGTTTCTTATCTTCACAGGACAACATAATGAAATCGTCTCCAGGCTGATGCTTAAATATTTTACCAGACTTGTCGTCCTAATAATAATAAAAATAATAATAATAATAACAAATAATAATAATAATAATAATAATAATAATAATACACTTACTACCACTACTACTAATGCAAATTACTAATGTAGATACAACATACCTTGTATTCAAGTGTCAGTCCAGTTTTATTAATCATCCAGTAGGGGCAGTACAAGCTCAGCCTGTGGTAGCCATGGTCCTCATGCAATAAATACATAGTCTGGGAAGGAAGGAGGAGGAGGGAAGACAGATTATATGGAAAAGTAGAGAATTTTTAAAGTTGCAATAGTACAGGGATTTTGGTCAAATGTCGTCAAAAATTGACAGGAAAAAAATTCTCCATTTTTTGTAATTTTTTCTGAAACATATACTGTACATGTTCTTATGCTTTGCATCAATTTTGAGCTTATTCTGATCAAATTTGAATCTTTTTTACAAATATTTCAAGTTGCTCAAAAATGGGCCAAAATTCGTCAAAAATAACTAGGAGAGAATTCTCAATTTTTATACATTTTCCTGATACACATACATGTCCTTATGCTGTGTATTAAGTTTGAGCTGATTCTTATCAAGTTTGGATTTTTTATAAATTTTTAAAAGTTGATCCAAAAGCCATATTTCTTATACATGTACATGTACATACATGTATGTAACATACTATTGGTGATCTGTCTCTCCCAATGAGGAAATCAATTTCACTAGGAAACGGGTACGGCAATGGAAATGTACCAATCATGTCTTCCTTAGGCAACTAGAAAAGAATCGAATAATTAATACGATAACAACAGGGTCATACCCATAATAAAATAATTAATAATAATAATTTACATGTGTATATATTAATGAATCTTACTGTAACGACTAGTTTAGGTGGTTTTCCAGTGTCGAGGTAATACAGCTCGTGTGTCTGTCCAGGGTTTAGAGTAAAAGGCTCAAACTTTCCATCCTTAGAAAGAAAATACAATAAATAATAAATTAAATAATTTTTCACTTTATTAAAAATGCGTGTACATGCACAAAGAGATCTTACCTCTGTTTCTATGCTAACGACACTCGGGAGCAAATTTTGAAGGACGACAAGAGGATAAACGTGAAACAGGTGATGAGGATAAACCCCCTCCTTTAGCCCTCTCTGACCTTTGAAACGCTCCTCTTCCACTATCACCTAGAAAGTAGAAGAAACCATAGCAACGGTAGCCACGGAGACTGTATCAACATACCCGTAGGTTGAATGGTTGCGAAGGGGTGGAGCAGGAAAGGTCAATTTGTTTTTGACCTTTTATTGACTGCCAATCTAAGTAAGGTTTGCTGCCTCCATGACTAAAAAAATAATTAAAAAAATTAAGAGTAAAAATCTCAACCTTCTCCCTCAATCTCTCAACAATAAATTTAAGAGTAAAAATTTAAAAATAAGAGTAAAAATTTAATAATAAGAGTAAAAATTAAAGTGCATAAAAATCTCCCCTTCTCCCTCTCTCCTCTTACCCCTCTAAAGTTGGTCTAATACATATTCCAAGGAGGAGCACTGATAAAGGTAGAGGATAGAGCTCGCCAGGTTCAAGAGTTTGAATTAATTTCGATTCTCCTTTTATCGGAGCCGAGAGTAACTCAATAGGCATCAACAAATGATTGTGAACCTAAAAATAATAATAATAATAATAACAACAACAACAACAACATTAATAATAATAATAATGTTAGATCTAGTTGGAAGGTCAATATAACTAAAAATTGGAGATTTAAGGACAACTAGGCTAAATATGAAAAACAAAAAAAAAGCTAAAAATTGGACATTTCAAGTAACCTAGACTAAATATAAAAGACCAAAAGTCTCCTAAACTCCCCCTATATCTAACAGTGATAATCATGATTAGTACATACTTGTACAGAAGATCTTATGTTAATGTTATTCTTTGCTCCATTGACAGTGACATCAACAACCACACTGGCATTAGGACTTAATGTTGACTAAAAACAACAACAACAATAAATAACAACAACAACAATAATAACGAAGTGCTGTACTAATGCTGGTCACATGTTTATCACATGCTTCATTTACTTGTTCAGCTGCCACCAGTTGATAGTAATAGGCCCCAGGCACATCAATGGGTACAGATTGAAGAGGAAGGAATGAAGAATCAACCTAAAGATAGAGATAAAGGTTACTAGTATATTATCTATAATGATAATAGTTTGAGGAAATGGAGATGGTGATAAGAATGAAGAGAATCAAAAATAGCTTAGAACAATATCAATATCAATATCAGTATCAATATCAGTATCAGATTAGCTTACAACAATATCAACATTTGCGGTCTCTTTAACAGCTGGCGTCACAAGAGAAGCATAAGAAATGTGGCCCAAGTCTCTCCTGAAAATCAAATCAACAAATTCATTGTATTGAACTTGAACACTCTCAGCTGGCTTTGGAAACTGCACATGCACAGAAAATTAAAAATATTATTTTAAAAAACAAACTTTGAGTGATTCTCCTGGTGTTATTACTAGCTCATTATACTTAGGACCAAGCTAAGGAGATAAAGGAAGATACACATACACATGTACATGTATACTGTATAACACTTTATTTTGGCGGCGCTTTATTTTGGCGATTTTGCTGTAAAATTGTAATTGGCGGTTTTTAATTTGGCGATTTTTGTGTACACGTGCATTACTGAGCATGCGCATTTAATGATTGGCGGTTTTAATATTGCGGATTCACCTTGCAAACCGCCAATCGCCAAAATAAAACTCCACCAAATTAAAGCATTATACGGAATCTTTACCTTATTAGTGATAGTGAATGGAGCACCAGTTAGTGATTGTACATTAACATTACCCTCAACTTTCTTACCATACTCTTTTGAATAAGCCTATATTAATAAATAAAAGACACGCCTTTCGCTAAATGGGTGGGGTCAACCAAGCCCACCTCAGCCAAATCTTTAATGAGTTGGATAGAAGTCCGAGTGATGGTGATCTGGAGTGGATCAGTGGCTTTTAGTTCTATGAGGAACTTTGGTTCAAGGACAGGAGGAGGGCCATCACTGGAGAGAGATCCGAGACTGGAGGATGGAGATAAAGTAGGAGAGACAAATGACCGAGTGACCTGGAAAAGAGAGAGGGAGAGAAAGAGAGGGGGGGGGGGCAAGGGAGAAAAAGATAAAGATATTAAAAAATTAAAATGATAAAAGAGATACATTTTCAGAAAAAAATTCGCACATGCTGTTTTTGGGGACAAGTTTAAAACCATGAAGGCATTTAGAATTGTCATTAAAGAAGTTACTGCAGTAATTAATCCATTTAGTTCTGACATTAGTCACAACACAGCCACAATAGTAAGTCATTATTTATACATGTACATGTACCTCTAGATTAATCCTCCATGCTTGTAGTCTTTTATCACTAAGCTCCAATGGCTCCAGTAATGGCTCCCAAACTGATACCGACTGATTGAAATATGAGGCCTCAACATTAGCGTCACCAGTTACACGCATCTGTAATCAGAATCATTGCGTTAAGACTGCGTTAAAATGATGCTAAAATCACTAATAAGATTGCATTCAGGAATGTTAAAATTGCGTTAAACATGCATTAAAAACATGTTAAGGTCGTGTTAAGATTGCATTGATTTATAATAGAATTGGATTAACACTGCGTTACAAATGCATTAGCTATAATACCTACCTGATAATTCCAGTCAAATACTTGGACAATGGCTTTTGCATTTAAAGACAACACCGGAACCCCTGGAGCTAAATCGGTCCCCTCAGTTTCCAACATTAATTCAAAACCTTCCAATGTCAGCGTCAACTAAGAGAGAGAAAGAAAGAGAGAAGGAGGGAGAGCACAATGTAAAAACAGCTGTTATAGCCATTATCGTACAGTTTGAGTTGGACAATCGCTGTCAGGGGAAACAGGTGCAAGGCTTGAACTAGACTCAGAATGAAGAGGAACTAAAAGAAGAGAGAAACATCAAATAATGGCTTCCATCTCAATCCCAAACCACTTGCTCTTCCTGTACTCTATACTTACCATCAAAGACGTACCACAGTTTGTTATATGGTACAGGTTTCTTCTCCCACAGATCAGTTGGTGCTGGGGGTACCACTGGTTTATCCTATGGAGAATAATGAATATATAAAGAATATATGGGTAGTGTGGGCCCAATGGTGTCCTTAATAAAGAGGCTACACTGTACATGTATTAAGGACAGGTAGTGTGGGCCCAATGGTGTCCTTAATAAAGAGGCTACACTGTACATGTATTAAGGACAGGTAGTGTGGGCCCAATGGTGTTCTTAATAAAGAGGCTACACTGTACATGTATTAAGGACAGGTAGTGTGGGCCCAATGGTGTCCTTAATATGAGGATATCTTACAGTAACGGCAGTGAGTGTTTTCACTGCGTGTATTATGAGTCTAACAATCGGTGGAGAGAGTTTCAGTGAAATGTTTTGAATGGATCCAGTAACATCCATTGATAGTATGTTATCCAATGGACCATACATTGAAATGGAGATACTCATAGGGAGAAGAACCTTGACAGGAGAGAGAGAGAAAGAGAAGTGAGAAAAAGAAAAAAAGGAGAAATATCGTAATATAATACAAGAGAAATAGGCTGGAACTCACTACTGATGTCGCTGTTTCAAGATCATAAAAAGAACAGGTGGTGACACCAAAATCAGCAATGTTGAATGTCGCCTGTTTCATGTTGCTCTCTGAACTAACTTTTAACTGAATGAAGGAAGAAACCTAGGGAGAGAGAGAGAGAGTGAAAGGGAGGGATAAATCACAGGCAGAATAAAAAGCTTGTTAGATATATATTTCTAACCTTCAGAACTAGTGCCTGTGGATTTGGTGTGTCCACATTTTCAATAATAGCAACACGAAGGTTCTCTAACTTAGCTGTGACTTTTAGCGGAGGCAGAGTCTGTAATTTAGCCAAAACCCCATCACTAGCGCTAGTCTTTGTACTTTCCAAGGATTTCTCTTTTTCAAGAACTGGTTCTGGATCTTTAGCTATGGCTCGGGGAGAATCAGGAAGCTCTTCAAGATTAGGAGGAGCAATCTGTTCTGATATTGATTTGAAATAATCGCTGATCGTCTTTACAAAATTGATATCGCTCAATGCCAGGATTTCGTGTAGAGAGAGCAAAACTAAAAATAAAATAAAATAAATAAGTATATCAATAAATATGTGTAAGAAAAATTAATAAAAACTGAGGGTGATTTTGGAGCCATTTTTTGGGAAAAAAAACCATGGGCTATAGTACACGCTTTTTTCAAAAATACGCTAATTTTTAAAATGCTCGAAACTCCAGAATTTATAGCTTAAATTATATAATAAATATATTGTACCTGAGTGTTCTTTGTTAATGGAGAGATACTGCACCTTTAATATATGACGATCAATCTTTCCAGTATACGCATTCAGTGGGTTACTGGTATAATGTTGAATAACACGATTACTGAGAGAGAGAGGGAGAGGAAGAAAAATTTAAAAAATAAATAAAACAATTACAATGTACAAGCAAAACTTGTAGTGTAAAAAGGAACAAACATTATTCACATACATGTAATATAAAATTTTTACGGCTTACCCAGTATTTTTTTGCTGATTCTCTTCTTGCATATCAATCAACGCTAGGTCCTTAACTGCAGCATTTACATCGATATCATTGTTGCTATAGATACTGGTACATAACTCCGCCCCTATCAGCTCAAATGATGCCAGTCCTTTGTTTAACGGACTCAATGAAGAATCCTCCTATGACCATAAATCACTTAATAGCTACTACTTAATAACCACCACTTAATAACTAGTACATAATAACTACTACTTAACAACTACTATTCAACTACTACCTTAAGGAGACAATTATTAGCGTGTACTTATTTTAGCGATTTTCATGAAACTGACATTTGGCTGGTACTTAATTTAGCGTTTTTGATCATTTGGTATTAATAACTTTTAGAAGAATGAAAGGGGCAAGCCTAAGCAAGCTATAAATTATGTGCTGTGATTTACATGTATGAGCAAGCAAAGCAATTGCACAAGTCTAAATACACTAATACAGTATATCTTGTTGCATTAATCTTGCTTAAATTGCTTCATCACTGACTCTGCAGCCATTAACATGTAAAGTTATCTTGCTTACAGTTAGAAGCAGTCACTGAACGAAGAAGATTGTCATCTGCTTTGTTAACCTAGGCTAACTGCTAGAGATGTCATTGGATAGCAGTTTAGTATTATCTTGCTCACTTGCTGACCGTTTGCTGCAAGCATAGATATCTATGCTGCAAGTAAGCTCAGACTTGCTGGCGGCCGCCATTTTATTATTGTGACCACACCCACTTTCAATGAGGAAATTAAAATTAGCGCAGACTTAAGTTAGCGATTTTTTTAAAATCGCTAAAATTCGCTAAATTAAATACCCGCAAACAATTGTCTCCTTAAGGTATTCAACTACTACTTAATAACCCAAGTTAATAACTGCTCATTAATAACCACTACTTATCCTTACTTGTTTTGGCTCATTTTTATAGAGAGCCAGCTGGAACTGAGCCAGGGATACATTAACGGTAGCAGCTCTGTACTTCTCCACTGGCTCCTCCTCACATTGGACTGGAGGAGGGGATGCTTCAGGTTCTGGTTCTGAGGAATGGAAACACGAGAATGGAAACATGGGAATGGAAGATAGAAATGACAAAATAAGAATTTATCAAATCAAAATTCACCTGTGAGGACTTCCACAACTGCACCAGCAAACTGTCCGCTAACTTCATTGTAGTGAATTTTTAAAAATGAAGAATAATGTTTGAATTATGAATCATAATGAGTACCTTTCTTTTTGATGACAGGAACTATCGATTCCGCCATTGAAATACCCAACCTTATCACTGATTCAATATCATCCTGACCAAGTACCACCTAATGCAAAATGAATGCAACATAAGTACATCAATATGTATCAGAAAATGTAATAAAAATTGGGGGTGATTTCGGAGCCATTTTTTGGAAAAAACCATGGGCTATAGCCTTGGGTATTTTTCAGACTTTGGCTCATCTTTTAAAATGGCCATAACTCAAAAAATTGAAGTCGGAATAAGCTCAAACTTTCTACACAGCATAAGGACATCAATATGTATCAGAAAATGTAATAAAAATTAGGGGTGATTTCGGAGCCATTTTTTGGAAAAAACCATGGGCTATAGCCTTGGGTATTTATCAAATTTTGGCTCAATTCTTAAAATGGCCATAACTCAAAAAATTAAAGTCGGAATCAGTTCAAACTTTCTACATAGCATAAGTACATCAATATGTATCAGAAAATGTAATAAAAATTTGGGGTGATTTCGGAGCCATTTTTTGGAAAAAACCATGGGCTATAGCCTTGGGTATTTTTCAGATTTTGGCTCATTTTTTAAAATGGCCACAACTCGAAAAATTGAAGTCGGAATCAGTTCAAACTTTCTACACAGCATAAGTACATCAATATGTATCAGAAAATGTAATAAAAATTGGGGGTGATTTCGGAGCCATTTTTTTGCAAAAAAAAACATGGGCTATAGCCTTGGGTATTTTTCAGATTTTGGCCCATTTTTTAAAATGGCCGTAACTCGAAAAATTGAAGTCGGAATTAGCTCAAACTTTCTACACAGCATAAGTACATCAATATGTATCAGAAAATGTAATAAAAATTGGGGGTGATTTCAGGAGTCATTTTTTGAAAAAAAACTATGGACTATAGCATTGGGTATTTTTCAGATTTAAAGCCATGCCACAAGTACAGCGCCACATGTAGTT